GGCGCGCAGGGGCGGGGGCCCTCCCGGGAAGGTGGGGCCTCCCCCCCCCCCCCCCCCCCCCAAGTCACTGCAGCGGCTGCTTTGCCTTGAACAAAAAATACATCCCTTACTTCTAGTCTGACTGGGTTTGCATTGAGGGGCTGCTTGGGGTTTCTCTGCTCAGACTTCCGGATGTCACGTTTTGGCTGTTACAGAACTCTTTAGGAGCGGGAGTCTTCTCACGCAGAGACAGGAACCACTTAATCTTTTCTTGAACATGCTGCTTAAATCTCTCCCTGCAAGACATTGTCCAGGTCTCACATCTTTTATCCTGAAGGTAGATATGGCAGGGGGGAGGGAATGTAATTGAAAAGGCAAGAAAAGATAGATGGTATCAGAACAAAACACATTTAGAAGGAAAAAGATACTATCAGATAGAAGTTAATTGAAAAAGATTATTTTCCTTAAATAGAATGTTAATATTCATTATTATATATTAATCTCCAACATCGTGGATGAGGACACAAAACGTGTACGTAACCCCTTGGAAAGAGGGTCAGCATGTAATGAGAAGCCCTAGGCAGGAACTAATATTAGGAGTTGCTGTAAAGGTTGTGCTGCCTCATCTGTATCAGAGACATGAGTCTCTGGAGAGATTTGAATGTCAGGAGGAAAAGTCTAAGCAAATGAGGGCACTCTGTGTCTATATATCAGCAAGGAAAAAGTCAAGAAGCCCACCTGACTGAAGCGTACAGCTTGAGGTTTACTGCAATAGGCAGCGTAAGAGGGAGCAAAGGCAGCTAACAGCTTCACTAGGCAGTCTTTGAGGAGGTTTTAACGGGAAAACTGGAAAAGGCTGATGATGTGATTTTTTGGAGTAACTTAGTCAAGCAGTGAAAACTCCAGTACCTTGGATAGACTGTCACTGTCTTCTTCCAACAGAAGGCTGAGATCTACCAGACAGTATTAGCATGTGATGGTCAGAGCAGGCTTTACATTTCAGAGCTCTGACAACACACAAACTTTATGCACTCTGGAATGCAGCTGATGAGTTCTGTGAGGGGGGAAGCATAGAGGAGCTGCAAAGCAGAGAAGAAATACGATTCTCAGCTGTCAGGTTTAAATATGATCTAAGCCCAAGGGAAACAGAAGAGTCCAGATGGATTGTTTTGAAGGAAGCTGCTTAGGAGTACATAACACAAACTCTTCTCTAGATGAAGAGATTCCATTTCCCAAATCAACTGAAAGGCACTGAGGTCTGACTCAACGAAGAGCAGGCTGGTTTTGTCAGTACACCCTGATGCAGTATTTGCCCAAACTGATAAGGAGTGAGATTAGTTTTGAAATTACAGTCTACCAAAGGCGACTGTGGCTGCAGGAAAACAAACCCCAGAGGTGAATGTGTTCCAGGGAGTGCCGCTGCTTTCGTCTCAGTGCATGCTGTCAAGAGCTATTAACAGTACAAACTGAGAAACTTCAACTCATTATTACATGACAGCTGAGCATACCTACATGCGTCCAAGTCTCACTTGACCTTCGCTTCACCCACTCAGCTCATACTGGTGTCTGGGTCTGATGATAAGCATTTTTAGCACAGTCAGATATGATTATGGGACACCAGACATACATGGCAGCAACTCTTACCTTTCATTCTGGCATTATGGTTATTTTACAAATGATTTTCTATAATGCTTGCACATTTCCTCCTAGGTAAAAGGAGTGGGGTTTTCTCCACAGTAAGAAATAGTAGTTCTTAAGTGATATATCATGAGAGAAGGTATAAAGAAAATAGAAGAACATCTCAGATTGCTGTACATGTTATTTTACAGTTCTAATCAAGGCCTCAAGAAACAAGTTGCTTATACCTCATCAAGCCTGCTCATTGTGTATAAAATACTAAATGCTTACTGCTATTGCAAACTGACAGAACTATGTCTAATCGCAAATCTTCACCCCTTAAGAATGAGAAAGGATAGGACATATTCCTAAAACCTGTGAGGCATGAACCAGGCTCATTTTCTCTACAAAGAGCAGAAGACCTGCTGGGCTAAATTGCCATGCTACTTTGAGTGTTAGTTTTTGTGCAGCATTCTGAATTCCCTACCACTTGGATGTTACATTTACTGCCCAGTAAACAATAATATCTCTAAGAAACAAAACTGTCTCAGACTGCTGTCAAGAGATATCCTTGGAAACGCACGTATCCTTTGGAAAGGGACTATTGCCAGGATAAGGATACTTCAAAGTTTTGTGCCAACAAGAACTGCGTGCATTAGAGTCTTTTTTCCACTGAACAGGGACATTGCCAGCAATGGTGGAAGGGCCTTCCCGTATATCAGAGCTGAGGCACGTAGAGAACATGTGCAATTGGTTCAATTTTTTTTAATCCAGTCAGTCCTTCACATTTCTTTTAGAGCAACCAACAAGATGAATAGTTAACAACTGTTTTTGTTGTGGTAGCCATATCTAGTGAGAACTAGACTCAAATTCACTAGCCCATTTCCTGGTATCTGTTAAGTAACAGACACAGCCAACTGTAGCTTAACATCTTCTCCAGTTTGGGAAAGAAGAAACATCCAGCCCTTCTTGTCTTTAAGATATGTGCATACACTAAGGTGTACCCACCAAAAAAGCCTAACTCCTCCCAGAATACAACCATCAGCATTCACAGGAATCATTGCGTTTTGGGAGGTGTGCAAAACCATTAATGGAATTTAGTAAAGATCTTGTATCTGCAGGCCAAATGAGGAGTGCTTTTTGTACTTTGCTGCTCATGAATCCAGAGTACCCTGGAGCCCAGAAGGAAGTTTAATTTGTTGAAATGTTGTTCAAAAACCTGATTAAGTGTTTCAGCTTACAAACCAGCATAGAACTGCGCTTTGTAAAATCGTTTGAACCTTATAGATTTTTCATAATTATCAAAGACCATTTTCCAAGTCTCTCCTCTAATCTCACACTACTGAGACTATTCTCTAAAATAAGTGAAAGGGGAGTCTATGTGCATCACAACAGTAAAAATTCAGCAACTAAATAGGACATTTAGAAGGAGATCAAGAGAAGTTCAGAACACCCCCCGAAACGAAGTCAGTAAAGTTTTCTCTGTCGCACATCTGATCAGTCTTTATGAACTTACAGAAGAGGGGCATATTTGCTCCTGTATTCTTCCCAGACCAGCCTTTAGAAGCTGTCACAAAATTAGCTAAAATGAGTAAGCAAAAGCTCCTGGCGTATACGACAAGCTTCTGAGTCCATTGATTCCATTTGCTCATATTCTTCTTCTGGTTGTTCCATGTGTCCTGTGGCTGGGGAAGACCACACATCCAGCCCATGCTCCAGGGAGATGTTATGAAGCACGCAGCAGGCCAGAATGATATGGCTGGATTTCTCCGGCGAATATTGCAGGGTGCCTTTGGACCCATCCAAGCAGCGGAAACGCGATCGAATGGTTCTGAACGTCCGCTCGATGACATTGTGAGTGGCAGAATGCGCCATGTTATAACGGTATTCTGCAGGTGTCTCAGGGATATGCAGAGGGGTCATCAGCCACGTTCGGAGGAAGAAGGAGCTGTCGCCTGTTAGTGTTCAAAAACAGGAGAGATTACATACCTACGGTTAACAATAGGTTTCAGCTCTTCATTCTCAGTTTTCCGGTACTGTAGATCTAGAATAACTTTTTTTCCGGCTAAAAACAGAACACATGAGAAAATATGAAAGATCAACAATAACTCAGGTTTACAAGTGTGATAGAAGACAAAAAATAAAGACACTCTATTTGACATGAAAAAATCCTAAAGAACACTGAAGAGGAGGGTTGTTAAAAGAGAGATTCATTTACTATGCAATACAGTGAAATTATGACAACTGGACTAGAATCATACGTAAAATTAAAAAGTACATAATTCAGAAAGGGGTAGGATGCTGAAAACAAGGACTTAACAGAAGGTATATAACTAATATACATAATAATCAGACCATAAAAAACACAGACTAGGTTGTTTTTGTTCTTCTAGCTTTCTAAGGGAAAGATAGTCCAAACAATCTCAGATTTCAAGGAACTTACAGGAAAACAATTAGAAGTAAATCTATCACTTGAGCCCAGATGCTCTAGACTCAATGAGGAGCCAACAACTAATAGACTTCCAGGGAAAACAAAGATGAAAACTGACTTACCAAGTAGCCAGCCATCTTTATGTAGCTCAGTTTCAAACTGGTTTGTCAGGGCTGCCTGCTGTAACACAGTGCAGTCAGGCAGGCTGCCTGGCCAGTGTGTTTCTGCGCTCAGCAGGACTCCTCTGGCATCACATACCATCAGACAGTTCAGAGAATGGAGACCCTTTCGGTTCACATAGGACAGGTCCTCTGCATTTGGTGCTTTGATTGCCACATGGGTGCAGTCAACCACCCCTAGTACTCCTGGCATGCCTGCCAGCCCATAAAAGTCATCCTTCAGGCTCTGTACCGTCGCTTCATCCTCAGGAAAGCGAATGAACTGCGAGGCTCTTTCCACCAACGCCTCAGTGACATTGGCAACACAGCGGCTCATGGAGGCTTGGCTAATGCCAATTGCATCCCCCATGCGAGTCTGGAAGGAGCCAGAGGTATAGAAACCTAATGCAGCAAGTATCTGCGTCTCTGGACTGATGGCCCTGGACCGCTGCGTAGGGCGAGAGAGACTGGTTCTCAGAAGATCCACCAGGTAGTAAATGAACTGCCGGGGAAAGCCGTACGTGGACACTAGATACTCATCTGTGACATCCTCCAGCTTGAAACGGTCCAGTGTCCTATGTCCACGGCCATACAGCAAGAGGTCACAGTCAAGAACCGCAATAGGTACAGCCATAGCGCGTGCCCCAGGGGCTCCTTGGGGACTGCTTCTGTCAGAGAACTTTTCCCAGAGGCTTCACCTGCATAAAACAAAGAGGGAGGAGACTCAGAACAGCTCTTTAAAGACAAAAGAAAACCAGTCTCTCCGACTCCGTTGTGATTTTCTTTTTAAGCAGGTTACAGCAAATCTTTTTATTCCTTTTTGCATTTGCTTTTTAAAAACGTGGGGACCAAACTCAGTGTCAAACAAGAAGCGCCCAAGCAAGCAAAGCAGCCAGCTCACAGCTGGGCCCAGCAGCGTGAGCCTCCTTGCGGGGCCTCGCTCTCGGCTAGATCCCGGCCGAGCCAAAAACTCGCCCACCTCCAAGGGCGGGAAAGGGACCCACGGACGAGAGGAATCTCCTTCCCACAGCTCGGCGGAAAT